GGTCACTGGTAGGAAGATAATCCGCGTTCATAGTTTGTGACTTGAGAGATAAGGGCGACGGGCGACAGGGCGCAGCGCAAATGAGACGGGGACGTCGATTTTTCGAATACGGTAGGCGCCAAATGTATGCATGTGGGGATCTTGCCCGCTGCAATGGTATCACGTGGTGGAGTGGATTGGCGAGCCAGGCGCAGTGTACCAATTTAGAAGGGGATGGGGGGGGGGGGGGGAATTGGCAGACTGCGTGAAAAGCTGGAGTGTGCAAGTTTCTTCGCGTCTCGTCACGTCATATCGGCAAAGTCCTCATGTACATACATTTCGCGCATACCGTATCCTAAAAATAGGCGTACTCGTCCCACTTGCATGAACCAGCAAAAGAAAACTAGGATAGCAGGAGACTAGGATGGATATGCTGGAAGATTGAATACGTATCGATTGGAATCGCTGGAGAGTAGGATAGTGCGTCTCTAAGCGAACGGATCAATACGTATCTAATCATCTCTACTATCCTATTACCCTCGTGGACTACTACTTTTCCGCGATTCCAATCAATACGTATCTAATCTTTCCAGCGCAATTTCCTGCCCTACTATCCTAATCTCCAAATCAATACATATTTTCTCCATTGTCGCCTGCAATTTTAGTCTCCAAGTCGCGAAGTATGAGGGCGGCCATAGCTGCTTGTAAGATAAATAGTCAATACTTAACAGGTCCATGGTTGCGGAACGACTATCACATATTCCTAAAGCTAAGAAAGTAAAGGTGAAGAAAAGCAAGAAAGAAAAAGAAGAAGGGAAAGAAGAAGAAGTAATCGTGGTTAACCGTATGGATCACTTTCGAATAAATGGTTGTCTCTTCGTTAAACTCTGTGCTTTTACACTGAAAAGATGGGAAACCATAAACAGACAATACCGTTTAAGAACAATCCCCGCTATCGTGAGTTGGGCCCCGGAGGAGCGCAGGGGGAATCCTCAGGGGCATGTGGACCATTCTGCTTTGGCTTTTACCACCCCAGTGCTTCGTTTCGGCGCTCATCTCCTTGGGAGGGGAGGGGGGGGGGGACATTCAAGTTAGTGAGCCAATTGCTGTGCTTGGGACTAAGCCTTAGGCAGGGGAAGGGATTCTGGGGTAGGATGTGAGCAATATGTGTTCTCCCTGGCGTTTCTCCCCTCTCCTGGGCTTAGTCCAAGTGTCACCTACCATCGGCTCTTGTTGTTGATGTCCCCCCCCCCTCCCACCTAACGGACATACCGCCTTCGTTCCAAAATTGCGGATTACTGTAGGCAGGACAAACGATTGCACAAGGTGCCCGTAGTCTTGCCATAGCGACCCCTTGCATTGCACTTGACAAAGGCTTGTACTGGATCCAGGAGACCGTGTGACCGCCTGGAAGTATCGCCACTGTAGATTTACGATGAAAAGTTAGCCCACTAGCATTAAGATAGAGGTGGTCAGGGATGCGCGGATGAAGAAAAAATCGAGGGAAACAACTAGAATCCGATAAACGGAACCTTTTTTGCCCAGAGAAATCGAGGAATTAACTAGAATCCGGGAAACGGAACCAGCTTTGACACGTTAGACGTGTCTCATCGGTATCGACCTCGTAAATGTTAACGCTCTCTCTGCGTAGACCGACGTCAGACTTTGTGAATCGTGCAATTCGTCAGCGTTCGCGGTCGCGTCGCGTACAGCGAATCGAGCCATTCGGGGAACGCGACGCGACCGCGGACGCTAGCGAATCGCGATTCGCAAGGTCTGACATCGGCCGTATACGGACTACTTGACCTTTCCTCAATGGTTCTGCCGCAATGGCTAGAGTAGAGATGGCTAGTGAACGCGTCTGTCGGCCTCCAGATCTCAAGGAGGAAGGTAAGACTAAGCCTTGGAGTGGGGAGGGGTTCTGGTGTGGGTGAGCCAATTACAGTGTGGCAAAAGTTTGAATGTGTGAGATCACAGTGGTCATGAGCCGCTGTAAGGCGAGAGAGCGCAGGCGGGAGCATCAAACTGAGGCGTTTGTAGGACCGAGTTCAAGTAGTTCCGTCGACCTTTCTCTGATAAGAGGCTGGAACCAGACGGTGAGGGGTGGGTGGGCAGCGCCGATAGCCGCGCGGGGACGGCCATGCTAGATCGCCGGGTACAATCCTTTGATGCGAACTGCGTGTCTCACCGCAACCATCGGGGATCCGCGTCTTTCTACCAGGTAGATTTCCCCTTGTTCCACCTCCGACCTTATCGTAGAATTCCCTCTAAACTACGGTAGGCCGTGCAGAAGTTATTTAATGGACGTAGTTTTCCATGCAATTTGTGTTACTTGAGTCGGCTTCCACGTTTCAGTTTCACCCAAAATCGGCTTGTTTGACGGGGTCCTGAATATGATCTATGCCTTTTGATACCGCCGAAACCCAAGGAGTAGCCCAGAGCGCACGGACAGAACCTGTACGCCATTCCACAAGTAAATGAAAAGGGACCTCTGCGATGTTTTAAGATACGGGGGCATCCTCGAGGGCTTAGCTTAGGAGTGGGGAAGAACTTCGAGGAACTTAGCTCGTGCAGAGTCTAGCTCCCCACCATCCTGAAGGCTAGGCCCAGTTTTCGTTCGCTCGGAGTGCATTCTCTTTGTCTTAAGTGCATTGTCTGCTGATGTTTTGAGACGTCGAGACTCCATAATGGGCAAGCAATTCTTACTTTATCCATCCTCGCCCGCCTAATAAGCTGACGTGAATTCTAGAACATGTCTCGCGTCTGTGCACCTTTCAAGCAACAAGGTGCGCGCTTTGGACTCAATTTGCGAGACCCGGCTTTTCGGAACCTTGTGAGGGTGTACTTACTGATCTTATGCGGTAAAGCCTAGCCGTACTCAAGGAGGGAAATCCTACGTAAACTCATTCACCAAAACCTGTCTCAAGCTATAGTAGCCATCCAGAAACGACACGCGCTATCCTCTAGGGCTGACCTCTCAGGTTATAGTCAATGAAGAAATCAAAGCTGAACTAGTTGGATGGAATACCTTGTCTGTACCGCTAACGGTGAGCGCTGGGCCAAGAGGGTAAGGGAACTCAGAGAAAAAGAGAAACCTTATGCAGCGCGTAGAACTCTCCTTCTGAGCTCTAGACTAGGAAC